GGCAGCTCCTGCATTGAACGTCTGCCCCGTGGTGGTCAGTGTGTGTCATAGCTACTGGTTGTTCTGCCTTTCGGTCGATTTGCATATTAGCCTTTTATTATCTAGGATAAGGGACAAAAGCCAATCAAGTTTGCCTGATATCCATCAACCAGGCCCTGGACACCTGGTCTCAGCCCAACTTCGCCTGCCTTGCTGTGTGGTCTTGGGTAAGTCACAGCTTTTCAGCCAGCTTTTGGTTTCCCCGGATGTTTCATGCAGAGGTTAATGGCGAGTTTCCTTCTGCAGCTTAGGTCCATCTAGGAGGGCCGAGTTTAGCCTGGATTTGACCAATGTGGGAGTGGTGATGGGGGGAGGGGAGAGGAGTGGCGGTTGTTTTTAGCCCCACCCTCTGGTGACATCACACAAGACACCTCCAGTCCCTTGAAACCCCGCCCCTAGTGACCCTGACCTGTGGAAGTGCCACCCAGTGCTTGGCATCTGGTGAATTTGCCTAGTCCCACAGAAGTCATCAACCCCAGGCTCTAGAGAAACCCCTAGGTAAGCAGTGCAAGGGGGCCTGGAATAGGTGGGCCCTGGCAGCCTGGTGGGCACTCCTCAGAGATTGCCCTGAGGGTGTACCCACCCTCATCCTCTGGCTGAGGTCTAAAGGAAGTAGGGCAGCAGGACCTCTGCCATCTCAGCGCGTGGCCTCTGGGTTCTGTATTTAGGGCCCACTGTGCCTGGGGGAGGGGGAGGCTGTGGATGAGGAGGTAGCTGTGAGCCAGGGCTTCACTGGTGCAGAGCCAGTGGGTCGCTGCTAACTGGGGGAGACAGGTCCCTGGATGTGAGTCAGTTGCTAGAAGCCTAAGAGAATAATTTACTGAAAAGGACTTGGTTGCCTGCTTTAGACCAGTATTTTCCAAAGTGGTTCTGTGGGACGCAGGTAGGTGTGACAGGAGGCGGGGCAGCCCCAGAGTGGCTAAGAGTCTGTGCTCTGCAGTCAGAGAGCTGGGTCCAGTCCAGGCTCCACCTCTCTCTCTGTGTCTCTGTGTCACCTCAGGTAAGAAGCTAACCTCTGAATTTCACTATCCTGAACAACAAAATGGCATAATAATATTTACCTCACAGGCTAGTTATGAGAATTAATTGCAACAAGGTTGTAAAGAGTCAGCATAAACACATTACATTTCAGCTAGCTTTATAATATAATTATTACTGAGAAAGGAATTCTCGGTCACGTAAGCTCGGCAAATGTAGGTTCAATAACAAAACGAAGCAGGCTTCTTTACTGCAGGACTTCTCAGAGCCTTTTTTAAAAAAATATTTATTTTTTACAGAAAAGAAGGGAGAGGGATAGAGAGTTAGAAACATCGATTCAGCTGCCTCCTACACATCCCCCTACTGGGGATGTGCCCACAACCAAGGTACATGCCCCTGACTGGGATCAAACCTGCGACCCTTTGGTCTGCAGGCCAACGCTCTATCCACCGAGCCAAACCGGTCAGGGCACTTCTGAGAGCCTTTAATATACTGTGATGCCTGGGAAAGTTCTAAGAGTGGGGTAGGGAGCATTTGACTGACATAATGGATCACAGAGACCCAGGAACGAGGCCACCGTAGCATGTCAGCCTTCCCTGGTCTTTGCCCTGGTGGTGGGACGGAACCCTTGCTGGATTGGGCAACTCTGGGAAAGGCCTCTCTGCCTCTGGGCTCTTGTTTCCTCACAAAGGAGCTGCATGAGATGCTTTCAGAGGGCTTTTTGGCTCCCTGAGGTTCTGAGTTGGGAAGAAAAAGCTGTAGACAAGGATGGAGGCCAGATGGTTGAGGTAGTAGCCCACTCTCTTGAGGAGGAGAAGATCCAATATTGGTTCCCCAGCCAGCAAGGCAGGACAGGGGTTTTCATGGTTGGGATGGCAGTGGTCCCATTCATTAGTCCATCAGCAAGGTCTGCTTCCTAAACCTGCTCTGTCCGGGGAATAGGAAGTGGAAGAGCCCTGGACCCCCTGTTGTAGCATCTCTCATGCGGTAGAGTAATGACTTCTTTCTCACCTGTCTCCCCACTGGACTAGGAAAGGCTACAGACCAGAGCCTAGAAGTGTCATGTGGGAGGAGCTTACAGATGCAAATTGGGCTGGGAAGCGGGAGGGGCGGGAGGCGTGTGGGCTGCCTGGACCATTTGCTGGTGGTAGAGAATATGAATGCCCTTCCTGCCCAGGTCTCCTTGCCTCTTGCAGAGCAAGAGTAGTTGTAATGAAATCTGATGCAAAGGGAGTGGTAATAAATCTGGTGAATGATGGACAGAAAACCTGGATGCTGAGTTCAGTAAGCGTGTTGGAGGGAACTTACTTGATGGAGGGGAGTTGTCTGGCAGGTGCCAGTTTTTCAATAGATATTTGATTTAATGAATGACATGCTGAATAATGATAGCCTGAATCAGTGGTTCTCAACCTTCTGGCCCTTTAAATACAGTTCCTCATGTTGTGACCCAACCATAAAATTATTTTCGTTGCTACTTCGTAACTGTAATGTTGCTACTGTTATGAATCGTCATGTAAATATCTGATATGCAGGATGGCCTTAGGCGACCCCTGTGAAAGGGTCGTTCGACCGCCAAAGGGGTCGCGACCCACAGGTTGAGAACCGCTGGCCTAAATACAGTAACTGGTACCAGCAAATGCTATTAAAAAACTATAGCATATAATTATGAAATGATTAATGGCACTTGCCACCTTATCTTGCAAAGAGCAGTTTAGGGTAATGGTTAAGATTGGAAACAGGCCTGGCCGGTGTGGCTCAGTGGTTGAGCATCAACTGATGAACCAGGAGGTCACAGTTCGATTCCTGGTCAGGTTTTGAGCTTAATTCCCCAGTGTGAGGCATGCAGGAGGCAGCCAATCAATGATTCTCTCTCATCATTGATGTTTCTTTCTCTCCCTCTCCCTTCTTCTCTGAAATCAATAAAAATATATTAAAATAAAAGATTGGAAACAGGATTTAGATTGTACCTCTGCTGCTTCCTAGCTAGGTGGATAATAGGGTACTTAACTTCTCTGTGCCCCAGTTTCCTTATCTGAAAAGTGGGATAGTATCAACTTCACAGGGTATTATGAAGTGTAAATGAGTCCATTAAAATGCTTAAAACAGTGTCTGGCACATTGCAAGTATAGTGTAAGCATTTGCTATGATTTGTTTTCCTTTTTATAATCTCTACCATATCATGAAGTTCCTGAGGGCAGGGCTCAAATTCTTTTTCACTTTGCCCTCCCCTGGGTCCAGCACAGGACCTGAGGCAGAAGAAGAGCTCAGTGTTTGCTGAATGAATGAATGAATGAATGAATGAGTTTTAAATGCTAAATTGTATAACCCATTATAAGTTTCCCACAGGAGAAAGTGGGCAGGGGGCAGTAAGGAGGTCCCCTGGGGGTGGCAGCTTGTGGAGGGAAAGGAAGTTGGTGTGACATTTGGGTTAGATGGGAATTGAGGGTGGGAGCAGGTCATAAAGTCTTGAAGGCTAGGGTGAGGGGTTAGATTTGATTTTTTTTTTTTTTTTTTTTTTTTTTTTTTTTTGGAATTGGCAGCCATGGCTGGGATGGAAGGGCTGGAGGAGGGAACTTTTGTGTGGGGGTGTGGCTGAGGGAAAGGGCTGTTTTTATAAGGATAAAGTTCCTGGAATTTTCAGCAAAAAAGTGGCTTTTTTGTTGGGTCTCAAAGGGTATGAGGTATTATCAGAATGCAGTTAGTTGTTCTTGGACTCAACAACCACTGAGTGTCAACTACCTGCTAAGCACCAGGGGTTCACAAAATAATGAGACAAACTGCCCAGCCTCGATGAGCTCCCATTAACAATTTTAATGCCCATGCGAAGTGTCATATGGTCAAAGAATATACCCAATGGTAGGAACTCAAGTGGAGAGGTCATCATCTGAGGTTCAGGGGGCCAGGGAAAGTATCACAGATGAAATGGGTTTTGAGGGATGAATATGAGTTTGCTAGATAAGCAAGATGTGGCAAATATCTCAGGTGGAGGGACCAGCTTATGCAAACTTATACAAATGTGAAACAGGCCCAGGAGGTTGGTGAGGCTGTGGCTGGATTTGAATACATTGTGGTTGAGCAATACTAGGCTGGAAATGACAGCAGGGACTAGTTCACGTAGGGTAATGGAGGGTCAGTGGGAGACTAAAGAGGCTAAAAACAGAGGCAGCTGGTCTGTTAGCGAGGTCATTGTCACCACCAGGTGAACGCTGATGGCAGCCTAAACACAGGAGAAAACAATGGGGCTCTTCTGTGGAGCTTGGACTCAAAGGAAGTGGCTGAGCTAGTGAGCCTTATCAGTGAATGCATTCCTCAAACATTTATTGAGCACCTATTAAGCGCCAGGCACTGTTCTAGGCATTTGGGACACATCAGGGAGCAGGACAATCATGAATCAGAGCTGAGCTCTCCCTTCGGACGACTCCTTTCTTCTGAAACTCAGCGTAGGATAGGGGGGCGGGCAGGAGGGAGTGAGAACTGGGCATGGGGGTGAAGACACCAGCCCCTGACTTTGCTCTGGTCCCTCTCCCAGCTCCCTTCCCAGTCCACAGCCATGGCCACCTTGGTGGCCCAGAAGCTTATCCACCTTCTGCCCAGTTTTCGGCAGGCCCACCAGGAGCCTCATCCATCTGTGCAGCCAGAGCCTGTCTTCACGGTAGACCGAGCCAAGGTGCCACCCCTCTACTGGAAGCCGTACATCTATGTGGGTTACCGGCCACTGCATCAGACCTGGCGCTTCTACTTCCGCACGCTGTTCCAGCAGCACAACGAGGCGGTGAACGTCTGGACCCACCTGCTGGCAGCCCTGGTGCTGCTGCTGCGGCTGGCCATTTTTGTGGGGACCGTGGACTTCTGGGGAGACCCCCACGCACGGCCCCTCTTCATCATTGTCCTCGCCTCCTTCACCTACCTCTTCCTCAGTGCCTTGGCTCACCTCCTGCAGGCCAAGTCCGAGTTCTGGCATTACAGCTTCTTCTTTCTGGACTACGTGGGTGTGGCTGTGTACCAATTTGGCAGCGCCCTGGCACACTTCTACTATGCCATCGAGCCTGCCTGGCATGCCCAGGTGCAGACCATTTTCCTGCCCACGGCCGCCTTTCTCGCCTGGCTTTCTTGCACTGGCTCGTGCTACAACAAGTACATCCAGAAGCCCGGCCTGCTGGGCCGCACGTGCCAGGAAGTGCCCTCAGCGCTGGCTTATGCACTGGACATCAGCCCGGTGGCGCACCGCATCCTGGTGTCCCCCAACCCTGCCACCGATGACCTCGCTCTTCTCTACCACAAGTGCCAGGTCGTCTTCTTCCTGTTGGCTGCTGCTTTCTTCTCGGCCCTCATGCCTGAGCGCTGGTTTCCTGGCAGCTGCCACCTCTTTGGGCAGGGCCACCAGCTCTTCCACGTCTTCCTGGTGTTCTGCACTCTGGCTCAGCTAGAGGCTGTGGCGCTGGACTACGAGGCCCGGCGGCCCATCTATGAGCCACTGCATACCCGCTGGCCCCACAACTTCTCCGGCCTCTTCCTGCTCACCGTGGGCAGCAGTGTCCTCACCGCATTCCTTCTGAGCCAGCTGGTACGGCGCAAACTCGATCAGAAGACCCAGTGAAGGGAGGTGGCAGCTGGTAGGGAGGGAGGTAGAGTGGGAGCCCAGGGGTCCGGGCTTGGCTCCATATAGGAACAAGGCCTGGTAAAGTTGTTTGTGTCTGCAGTGCGGTGTCTCTGTGCGCACGCCTCAGCTACCTAGGATGGCATTGGCTAGTCCTTGGATTTAGGGATTGGCCTGGAGTTCTGGGGTCCATTCCTGGGCCTGCCCTAACTCCCTGACTTGGGAGCGGGAAAGAGATAAAGATGTGGCTACCCTGGTTTGCCCCCCCACATTGCCTCTCACTACAGGTGAGGATGGGGAGGGGGAGGGGGAGTCAGCTGGGGCCAGGACTCTGGTTTGGGGCTTCCAGATTATCTAGAGGGGGTGAAGGTGGAATTTAGGCTAGAGTTAGATTTGAGCTGAGAGGCAGAGGAGGCCTCAGCAACGCCCATGTACCAGATTTCATTGGTGGGTGGGGAAGGGGCAGGACCGAAGTGTGTGCAGGATCTTACCATTGAGCTTCAGAGTCCCCAAAGGTAAAGACTGTGCTAGGTGCAGGTGGATCCCACCCAGTGCCCCTTATCCCTCAGTCACTCCCCTGCAGCTCACCCTCCTAGCTTTGGCCTCCATGTTCCAAATGTCCTGTTCCCAGCCATTCTCCTGGTTTCCACTGGGCCCTCTGGATCAAAGACTTTAATATTGGGATGGACTGTCAGGGGAAGCACTGAGGAGGGAATAATCAGTATGGCCTGGGGCCCTCAGGGTTTTGGGTGGAGAAGGGTGAATAGGAGTTTGCAGACGAGAAGAGGAAAGGTATTCCGGGCAGAGGGGGAAACCTGTACAAAGACCAAGGGGTACGGAAGGAGTTCAGTGGGGCTGGAGCTAGGGGCGGTCTGGACTTTGATATGTCTTGGATGCAATAAAGTTACTGTGATAACAGCTGCCTCTTTGTTTTTTTGTCTCCTGTTCCAGGGAGACCCATGGGCCTGCTCATGGTGTGGTTTTGTTTTGTTTGTTTTATCTTTGCCTGAGGTGACATTGGGGCCTTGTGTACTATATGTATGAACTTTTAAATTTTTTTGGAAGGGAAGTGGGGGGGCAGTTTTATTAAGTAAAATTTAGAAGTTAAAAGAATGTTTTAAAAATATACATCATCCTGCCTTAGCTGGTTTGGCTCAGTGGATAGAGCATCTGCCTGTGGACTGAAGGGTCCTGGGTTCGATTCTCATCAAGGGCACATGCCCGGGTTGCGGGCCCGATCCCCAGTAGGGGACGTGCAGGAGGCAGCCAATCGATGATTCTCTCTCATCATTGATGTTTCTCTCCCTCTCCCTTCCTCCCTGAAATCAATAAAAATACATTAAAAAAATACATCATCCCATTTTATAATTTGCCAAAGATTTCATTTTTTGGCTTCACTCAAGGGGGATTTTATGTCAATTTTTCATGGTATGGCTATAGGTTAACTTTTATAATAATGCTTTCTTCAGAGTACACAAGCAATATATGTACAGTGAAGGAAAATTAGAAAGTTACAGGTAAGAAAACTCCCCAAATGCCTAAGAAATATGTAATATCTATGAAGATGGTGGTTAGGAATGGAAGGACAGGGTGGGATGCCATCATTTTTGCATGTCTAAGGCTTTCACAAACGTTACTTCACTTGATCTTCTCTAAAATCCACAGAAGCCACAGAAGGCAGAACTGAAAGCTAGTTCTTGGCTCCAAATTTTTAGTTTTCATTTTAACATTTTCTAAATCCTCTCCTATGTGGCTTCACAGTCAAGCTTTGATTTCCTTTCTGTGAATTATAACAGTAACTCATAAACTCCAGGGCATGTTAACCATTTATGGGTAGGGTGGTGGACCCCAGATTTGGAGCCCGTGGATCTGAGCCTCGACTCCACTCTTCCTTTTTGAGACAAAGAAAACCCTGAGCGCTGGAGTAGTTATTATCTATAACTAGAGGCCCCGTGCACAAATTTGTGCACAGGTGGGGTCCGTTGGCCTGGCCAGTGATCGGGCGGATAGGGGCCGTCTAGCCCAGTCCTGTTTGGGAGCCAGCCGGTCAGGAGGAGGGACTGCGGGAGGTTGGCTATGGGAGCGCACTGACCACCAGGGGGCAGCTCCCCCTGGTGGTCAGTGTGCATCATAGCAACCGGTCAACCTGTTGTAACAGTTGCTTAGGCTTTTGTATATATATAGATAATAAAAGGGTAACACATCTGACGAAGCCAGGGCTGGAGCGAAGCCACCTGGGTTCCTGGTGCCTGCCAGTGGTCGGAGGAGAGAAGCCCAGGTCCCAGGTGCCTGTGAGCAGCCCAAGGGAAGCCAGCCCGGGTCCCGGGTGCCTGCCAGTGGCCAGAGGGAAGCCTGGTCTCGGGTGCCAGAGGGAAGCCGGTGCTGGCAGTCGGGGAAGGAAGGCCTACTCTTGCACGAATTTTCGTGCATCGGGCCTCTAGTATTTGCAATAAGGACGTACAACTAACTCAGCAAGAAGAAAACGCACGTTTCTTGTGCAGAGTCGCGAACGCGTCCACACAGCATATTTCCTGGAATACAACCCTTGAATGAAGAGAGAAGAACACGAAGTCCTTCCCAAAGAGAAAAGGGCAACGAGAAGATGGGTTAGCGGTGGCCGTTTCGCGTGGGGCGGGGCTTAGAAGGGGGCGGAGCCTAGGCCGGCGCAGACGCCGGGGGCGGTGCCTGCGTCAGGACGG